TAACATTGCATCATTTATACGGCTGCTGTCGTTTTTGATATCTGTACCACATTTAGTTTGTTTAGATATTTCTGTCTTCTTTACTGTATTTCTGCAATTAAAAAAATCACTATTTAACAGATATTTACATGGAAAGATTTAAGATTATTAAATTTGCATGCTTATAGCTGTGCTTGTTTATCATCATATAGGATGCATCTGATGAGATGTGAATTTTTATCACGTAACAGAAGATTAGGGTTAAATGTAGATGTAATAAAGAAACACTCTAGACCTACTAGCCATGTGGTAAAAATGACAATGACAAGTTTTATACTTTTTGTGTTTGACCTTTGAGTCATTATAAGATGAATACAAAAGTAGTTGTCGTTGTAATTTTTCTTATGATTATTTACTTTAAAACTATTTTTTGAATTAAAATACCTACTCTCTAGTTACTGATGGTTAGCGATACCTATATTATAGAAAAAAATCTAAATTTGAAAACTTAACAAAAATCAAACAAATGATCACTTTTATATTCATGAGCATAAACAAAGGATAAATCGATAAACCTGTAACTGAACTTGGCATGGAACGAATCCAACAACAAAAAATGTCAAGTTTGACAATCCTCAAAATATTTTAAATAAAGAAAATATAAACAAACGCAGATGTAGTAGATGTGAATAAACAAATAATAATGCTCCAGAGGTAAAAAATGTATCAAATGTGCATATTCAAATGCAAGCATATGAAACGAATAGTACATGACATTCAATCAAGTCACTTAAACATAAGAATGAATTCTTTTGTTTCGTTTTCAATAATTTCTATTGGGAGATCATCTCCATTATCTAAATTGCTTAAAATTCTGTAAAACAGTGGTATAATATAGACTGCATAGGCATTATGTTTAAATGAAGTAGAAATAAACCTACCTTGCCTCCTTTGCATGAACTTCTGTAGCATGTTCTCTTTTTGATTACTTGGCAAAAATTAAGTAGCAGTAGCATTCCTTCTAATCACAGTTTTATCACTGACTAAAATTCAAAATGCTTCGAACATATTTTAAAATTTTCTTTGTGTGATCTTCCAATACTTTTTATCTAACCTAAAACAGATAAAAATTAATAAATATAATTTATAACTAAATGCTGGTTATGAAACACATTTAATCTGGTAACTTACACATTAATGAACGATTTTGGTTAGTTTTCAATAATTTCTTTTGGTAGATCTTCTAAAGTCAGCACTATTAGAACTGCTTAAAATTCTATTAAAAAATGGTTTGAAAAGTTTACTAAAAAAAAGAAGGCTTCATTATAAATAGTGTTAGCACGCATATAGGGTATTACCTATATTTAAATGAAATAGAAATAAAACTTACCTAGCATCCTTTGGTGAAATTTTCTGTTCATGAGCTTCTGGAACATGTTCTTTTTTTTATTACTTGGCCAAAATAAAGTAGGAGTGGCATTCTTTTTAATCACAGTTTTATCACTGACTAAAATTCAAAATAAGAAATGCTTGAACGATTTTGAAATATTTCCTTGGCATACATTTTCTTTATATGAGCTTCCATTACATTAAGCCTTTTTTTTTTCTAACCTAAAAGACAAATAAAAACGAATAATTATACCTATATAACTAGATAAGGTTTTTATTAGAACCCCATTATGGATACTGGGCTAGAACAATAATTAAATACCTAATTGATTCATCCAAAAATAATTGTTAAATACGGGTCTGTATTAGTGTTAAAAACTTACTTATGACAAGTTCTTCGGAATTATTTCATCGGTTTGGACAGAATAAAACTAAACATGTTTTAACCATTGTTTATAGAAGTCTTTAGGACGTCTTTAGGGATCAAAATAACTTTCCAAAACTCACAAAAACTTTAAAAATCGTACAAAAATTGCTAAAAATAACAACAATCACAAGACAACTAAATGTCAAATGTCACAATATTCTAACTAATGCGCAGACTCAAATCCTCCCCCGTATTTACGCTATCGTAAACGTTTTTGCTTGCCACCCGGGCAGCCATTTTCCTATCTCCCCTCTTCATGTCTATGGTACAGACACGCACCGTCCATTACAAGCTATGTTGTATGTGAGGAAAAAACGCTCTTGGTTCGCTGCAGTGAGCCCAGTAGTGACCGGAGTGCTTTCTTTCGTGCCTGACACGTTCCTGTTATGGTCATGGTATGGTACGCTGTAGTGGGCAGAGAGCTTTAAAATGTGCATCCTCGTGCGAATTGGCCAAAATTTATTTAGAGCTAAAAATGAGTAAATGATGTATATGTCGTAGCCAGATTACAAAACCCGTCGTTTTATAAATTGCTTAGGCGTTTTATAAATAGCTGCCAAATTGTCAAATTTTAGTTTAGCTTTCATTATTTTGCTATCTGGCTAGCCGGAATATAAAATGCCTAGGCGTTTTATAAAATGACGGTCAACACGCGCCTAGATTGTCAAATGTTTAAGATTTTCCTCTGTTTGATATTTGGACGGGTAAAGAGTTTCAGTTGTCTCATAAAACAATGACGATTTTCTACGTTAACAATTTAATTTTGGCGGATGAAAATTGTTCAAATGCAGAAATAAGAAAAAATTAACTGATAAAGGACAAACTTTATGTACAATGTGTTATTCCGCAGTAAGCGATAAAACTAAAGGACAATGTAATTTTTGCTGTAAAAAAAGTAGCTGACCAATTGGTCCAAATCACAAAAAGAAAATTGAAAGATTTGCAGGTAGGGGAGCATGTTTCTGTAGCAGTTCCAAAATTTAACAGGGATCCGCTTGATCCTAAAGCTGTGTTAGAAACTATTCTTGATGTACGAAATTAATGGAATAGGTACCTATATTAATTAAGAACTGAACATGGGCGTCTAAAGCGGTGGTTTTCTAGGCACGAACTTAACTCAGTTGCTGCGTCAAACTTAAATCCATTCGTCTCACATAAAATAGGTTTAAAAAATGCCAGTGAAAACCTGGTAAAGTTAAATGTTGTACAAACAAATGTTTTGTATTAAATTACTAATAAAATTAGCTTTCAAATGAAGTGTCACACTTTACCATAGGTAATAATTTTTTATCTCGCTAGAGGGCGCTAAAATTAAAAGGAACACAATGAACAGTCATATTACTGAATTCCCCATAAATAAGAAAAAATCAACCGATAAAGGACAAACTTCATGTACAATGTGTTATCCCGTAGTAAGCGATAAAACTAAAGGACAATGAAAGATTTGCAGGTGGGGGAGCATGTTTTAGTAGCAGTACCAAAATTTGACAGGGATCCGCCTGATTCTAAAGCTATGTTAGAAACTATTCTATTCTAAAAATAGGTTTAAAAAATGCCAGTGACAGCACGTTACCATAGGTAATAATTTTTTATCCCGTTAGAGGGCGCTAAAATTAAAAGGAACGCAATGAACAGTCATATTACTGAATTCCCCATAAAATTAACTTTCCGACGATGTCATACTTGGTACTTTCCCTATTTAAATTGTATTGGTTGGATTGACGTAGGGGAGAGGAACGACATATGACAGTTGAGGATATTATAGAAAGGTGTCCTTCTTGAAATAAAAATCGACCTGTTTTTGCGTTTCTTTCAAAAAAAATTCTACTTCAAGTTATTCTGAGATACGGCCTGTCGCCACCCTTAATAAATCTGTGTACAAATTTTCTTCACCTTCGTCATTTTTAATATATGTTCCTTATACATCAAATTTTCTTAACAATTTTCGATATTATTAAAAATAAAGGTACTTTCCTGCATAAAATTCATAATTTTCGACAAACCTCGTACACGACCATGCAGATCTTTTTATGAAGAATATTTTTTTTCCATATGGCGCCGAATTAAATAGAACGTATACATATATTGAAAATTCAAGGCAATATTACAAATTAATAATATAATAATATTAATGAAATTTCTCGATAAAAATAATTGTAAACTATCTTTAAATAAAATACCAAAAAACTGTGTTTATAGTAAAAAGACCATAATAACTAATTTAATTGTATTTGATATAAAAATATAATAAAACAGATAGATATAAGCGACAAAGCAATTAGCAGACGATAAAGACCATTTTTCAAGCGATAATCACAATGATTTATTCCCTCAAAAATGTGTTTCATCTCTTGTGTCTTGTTGAGGGCCGCCGAGAGCCAGGTCGGGCCCCGGGACAATTTTCCAGGTCGGGCCCCGGGACAATTTTCCAGGTCGGGTCCCGCGACAATTTTCCAGGTGGGGTCCCGCGATAATTTTATAAAAAAATTAGGCCCTCTTGTGTCGAACTTCTAATAAAAACGGTCCAAACGTCCTCACCACGGGCCCCCCATTTGAGAATTAGTCCTGGCTACCCCCCCCCCCCCCCACTCTTGTCGGCCCTTGTCTTGTTTGTCTTAATAGTGTTAATATAAACACGTACCTACACACCCTTGAAGATTTCATCTCGAATAGTTAACATTCTTGAGAAATTGTATTGATTACACTTTACGTAAATATGTCCCAATTTTGACGTATTTGAAGGGTTTTGGGTACTTTCTAAATTCTAAGGTAAGTAGATGAAAAAACCGAAAACCTTTGCAAGCGTACATTTGTTTTTGCGAAAGTATCATAGGGAGGACTAACTTCAGGGTAAATAAATTGCTATAACTACTAAAGGGAGGGGGTGCAAAAAGTTTAATTGGTGGTGCATATGAGGGCTAATTGGTGCATTACAGTAAATATTAAAATTTCCATGGGGAGAGATAGTTGTAGTTTCTCAAGGGAGGTGGTGCAAAAAAAAATAAATGGTGCATATTGGTGCATCACATTCTGGTGCAATAGTTTTTTTTTATCAAAAATATCATTGGGGGGGGGGGGCAACTTCACTCACCTGATATTTAGTGTATTTTATAGTTATTTTCTTTTCTTATGTACGAGTATTTTAGTTTTAGATAGACGTTGATAGAACCCTCTGCTTACGTTGGTATTTTTCATTGTTTTTTAGAATATTACGAACTCCAAAGCAGTGTCATTAACTTAAACTGTAAGTATCTTAATTCAAATATATTTATGGTTTAATTAGTGGCAAATATGCTTATGTGAGTGTTTTGTTGGTAAGAGCACTATGTATTGTGAACGTTTTAAGCAAAACACAATGTAATTTTTTAAGTTTAAGCTATCCCATTGTTTTATTCTTCATTTTTTTTCGCTCTCATCCGTTTGAAACGTGGTGGCAACTCTAGCCTGCAGCTCATTCTGTCATTATTTGAAGGTTCTGTTGCTTTTCCATTCACTCACTTATTCACCGCCTTTCATTCCATGTCTTAGATGGTTAAAAGCTTGTCTGCTTGTTCCACGATGGAACGTCCCAACCGTCACCCATCCACGACGTGGCCAGACACAGCTGAGCTGTTGCGAGACCGTGGATACTGGGTACTTTCATTTCTGCTGGAATTTTCCATATTTCTCATCTATCAACAGTAGTTAACGCTGCTTTCAGGTCTATTTCCTTCAGCTCGGTATATCAATGTATATTCTGTTTGCTAGGTCTGAATTGTGCTTGGTCCTTCTCTAATTTCGGCACTACATATTTTCGTCGGTTTTCCTCTTTATTCTTATTATTCTTTATATTTTGTTTTTAGTTAAGCATATCGTATAATTTATAATATTTTGAATTGCTTTGGGAATGAAATGTTTTAGTTATGTTGTTAAATAGGATTGAGTACTGGTAAAAAATAATTTATAGAGAATTGGTTTTGCAGATGTTAAAATATTTTACCATTAGCACTTCATTGAAATTTATTAGGTTTTAACGACTAGTTTCGTTTACATTTATTTTTAGTTTTAAAGATAATTAGTAAGATGTAACGTATGTTGTTTAAAATAGTAATTCTATTTTATATACATCATCAAAGTAGTAAATGAATGATTCTTTATTTTCATACTTCCACACTATTAAAATCGGTTCTTAAAAGTAATATTTAAAACTACTTGGTACAGCAGAGAGGTGTGATGTAGACAAGCACATTTAATACAATATGAATAAATTACAAAGATCAGACACTCAAGAAATATATGAACTGTAAAAATCTAAAAGTGAATCAAAAAAATGCAGAACAGAATAATCCCAAAAAGACAATATGCAGAATGAAAAGTGGTGGAATAATTAATGCACCTCCCTGCCAGACCACATTTTTAAATATTTTTCATTCCTATTTTTGTAAAGTTGACCTTATGTTAATTGTAGAAAAAATAAATTAATTGATAACAGGTATTAAATGACTAAACAAGTACTTTGAAAATTTATAAGATAAGATACTGTTTAAAACAAATAAATGCAATTATGAAATATTTTACTGTTACGTGTGTTTATTGAAAAACACTTATTGAGTCCAATAATTGTACTCGACAGTAAATATTTGCGAAATAATTGCTTCCAAATAAAGTTTTTTGTGTCAAAATAATTCAAATGAATATCGTAAGTTGCACATTTTTTTAGGATTACCACATATTGGTTTCAGTGAAGTCTTATCTTATCTATGCTTGTAGTGAATGGAAACCTCAATCATGTCAGATCACAGGCAAAATCGCGTGACTATAGCACTGACCTTCATATTAAACTGAAAAAAAAAACCATATGAACGAAAGCACGCCACCCGCCACATAGGCACAGTTTGGAGTCCACATGGGTGTATCCAAAAGAAGTAAAGGAAACATCAAAATTAAATTCAACTGAAAATAAAGAATTACCTCTGATTAATACGCATCTATAATAAATATTCCAATAATAATAACTAAAATACTACGTTATTATTAAAAAATCAACACAACTTATTGCAGTACGCCAGTGGAAAACGTGACATAGAACGCTTGAAATTGACGGTTTGGAGTTCTTTTTGTCATGCGCACCGACCGTTTTTGGCACCCATATTGGCTTAAAAATAAGTAATATGACACATATAATAATCCAGTTTAATATAAAGGTCACCGGGTGAGGTGGCATTGCGGTAACGCATCTGCCTCGCATTCGGAAGGTCGTGGATTCGAGCCCCACTGCCGCCTGGTGCTATGAGTTTTTTAGAGGTTTTCTTATAATATACAAATGCTGGGTCATCATTCCTTCCACATCATCCCCTCAAACCCGATCCATGATTCCTCTAGTGCGGTTGAAGAGGCTGGTAAAGACCAACAGGGAGAACTAAATACACATCCTTTACCTTATAAAGGTCAATGAATTCTACCGGTTGCTGAAATATTTAACAATGATCCATATTTTGTCACTCTCTCAACAGATCTGTTAGCAGGGATTTTCGGACCCGTTTATTTGAATTTTTTGTTTTATAAGGGGGTCTATTATGTAACAATTCCTTTATATTTAAAGGCCTTTAAAAATATTTTCTTCTTTACTTCTGTCATTATTTAAACGGATCTTTAAAATACATTAGAGGACTATCTTAAAGAAATCTGTTTAAATAATGACAGAAGTAAATTAACGAATACAAACATATTTTTAAAGGTCGCCAATATTTTTAAAGGCCGTTAAATATAAAGGAATTTTTACAGAATAGACCCCAATGACCTTTAAAAATAAAGGACTGCTTTCCCGAAACTCTCTGTATAGTGTGTCTATTAATCCTTAATTTTAATTATCTGATGAATGAATCTGAGCTTTTTAAATAGGTCTACTGGCGTAATCTCGACGTAATATAATTTTTACATGCTAAATTAAAAGATTCTCGTAATCATATATGTATTTTCGACGCTTTATGAAGGGCGACTATCCTCGACAATCGCTAAAAAAACGAACCGTTTTCGAAAGCGAGTGGTTGAAAAGCGAGTAGTTTTTGAAATCAATATTCTTGAGTGGCGTTCGATGAGTATTCGTTTTTTTAAAACGTGTACGTTTTTAATAGGCAAATAATATTTCTGGCATCACTGTAAACTGTATATATTGTTGAATTCAAGTAATGTGTAGGCCATCAAAAAATAAGGAATATGTAATTTAATTACAACAACTCAATTGTAAAGGACCCCGCACTTTTCTTATGCAAAGTGGCGACCTGTCAAATTTTCTAAAACTTTGGTATGTTGTTGTAGTCAAAAGTGTCAATGGACCCAACTCAATCCTATGACTAGTTTTCGATATACAGGGTGTCCCGAAATTAGACGGTCATATTTTAACAGCGTAATATACATCCTAAAATAGGAGTAAAAGTTCATATAAACATAGGCCCGAAAACGTTTCTTTTCCGAGATACAGGGTGTTAAAAGTGAAGTCCAGATGACACACTTTTGGAAATATTTTCTAAACGTTTAAAGATAACTAAGCGAAATTTAGTACAAATGCTAACTTTTTTACGCTCTATTTAATGGACTGAACTCCAGTTTGATCATCTTCATAGGTGGGTAAATTAGTGGGGCTTAGGGTAAAATTGCCCTAAGTTTTTTTTGTTGACAGTTTTTAACATTTTTGACTATAAAATTTGGAAAATCAATGTTTTCTTTGTAATAAAACTACTTTTGTTGAATCTCGCTAGGACGCACCATTTTCAAGCGAAAATCATTTAAAAATTTCATGATAGGTTGATGTTATCTTATTCGAAAGTGTAAACAATAATTAGTAGGCCTGTGGAATCAGAAATTTTATTTATTTTAACTTTGGAAAGCCGGTGACTAAAGAAATTTTAGAAAATATTTACAAAAATGTGCCATCAGGACTTCACTTGTAACACCCTGTATCTCGAAAACGAAACGTTTTCAGACCTATGTTTATATGAACTTTTACTCCTATTTTAGGATGTAGATTACGCTGTTAAAATATGACCGTCTAATTTCGGGACACCCTGTATATTAAAGTTGAAAATTTCCCAGTTTTTGGGAATTTTTATTTGCAAACTTACGAGCTAGATTAAATTTCTGATGCATACACACGTTTACTATGAGTTTTAGTAACACATTAGTATATACGTACAATTAAAAATATGTATAATTAGAGGGTGATTCACAAATGTATGAGGGTAATTTTTTGTAAAATCACACTAATTCTACTGTGCGGCCAGAGAAGCATATTTTTAAAAAGTACTACTCAATATGGTATTTTGAAGACAAAATATTGCACAGTAAACATTTATTATAGAGAGAACCACAACATAAAATTATTTTTTTTTAACGATTAATTCAAAACACTGTACTTATAAGTTGAATTTTGGGAAAGGTAATATAACTAAAATATATCTACCTTTAAGCTTCAAAATATTTGTTGGAAGGTATTCTATATTAAGAAAAGTACAAAAACCTAAAACTAAAATTTCATCCGTCAAATGTAACCATTTTCTCAATATATAATAATTTTAATGTCGTTTTAGGAAGTATACAAGGCGTTAAAGTGGAGAATTGCTGATTTTATTTATTTTTCTTCAAACTGAAAAGATAGATTGACGTAATGTATATAAAAGTTTAATATAATTTTTGGTCAGATGTTCATGAAAAGGGACATTTTAAAATATTTACTGTTACAGGGTGATTCACGAATAAATCACAATATATTTTCGGAAACACTCAATAATTTTACAGTTGCGACACAGATAAATTATTTCGCTATTTGTACTTTTTATACAGGGTGAGCCATGCAGCCAACCATCAAAAATAATTGTTTTAAAATTATTAAAACGAGACCTTGCATTTCTTTAGAGACTTTTGAGTATGTTACATTATGCATGTAACCATAAGATTTTTAAATATAAGTACAGGATAGTCTAACTGTTTTATAATTACCTACCAAATATATCGGAATACCACATGATTTTCCGATATTAGTGATAAGTTTTTATACACAGTTATTATCCATTTTTTTTTTATGTAGGTATAATTTAAATACTGGTATTAACGTTAGATAAATGATCAAGGCTAAGAAAGAAAATCGAAAATTCGAATATAACTTTTATTCTGTTGAAAGACAAAATCAATGCAATCAATAAAACCATAACTACTTGTACATTAATTGTTTTTTACAGGATGATTATAAAATAAATGTTAATACAAACTACAAAATTTTATAGGGTGATTTCGTAACACTGGGTACGTATATTGTACAGGCACATAATTCATAATATATAGCGAGTTATATAATATATTAAAAGTTATTTAACTTTTAACAGTTATTATTTCGTTTATAATTTTTAGCAGAAAAATATGGATATTTCGGATATCCCATACAGGAATGAATGAAACTATAGATACGAACGTATATTGCAACAACTATAAGAAAAATTAACAAGTAAGTTAACCACATTTACACATCACCACAGAGGTATAGGTTCTGGCGCGTTTTTTATAGTGGTTTCTCCAATAGGCCTAATCCACGTAATTAGGATGAATCTTTCTTTTGTTCGAAGTGCGTGTTAAATTTAATAGAAGGTTCTATAGATATAGAAAGCACAAAAATATATACCATGCCCTGTGGTGTATATAACTTATAATGCTTGTAGCAGATATAAGAAAGTGTGAAGACGGATGAGTACAGTAACCAAATAGATAAAAGAGGTAGAAACTACAATAAATAAGTGATATTAAAAGGCAGAACAGATCTGATACACATTAGATAGAGGTTGATATTTAAAAAATGTACAAATAAAATAGATATCAAGTGTATCTATATAAAGAAATGTTTTGATACAGAAGAAGTCATTTAGGAATTTTTAGGAACCGTTATTTTAAATCACCTCAGGACCAATGTGCAACTCTTCTAGCAGAATCCTTTGCCCACAATCGTCAATACAATTTAAACGTTTGGTTGAAGGAAATTTTATATTTTGCTGATGTCTAACATACCCTAAAAACAATACAAAAAATGACAATGACGCTGACAGGAGCTCTGGTATACAAAAAGTCCTCACCCTTCCAGTGAACTTCTTAAAAAAAAGGTCGTCGAGCTAAACCAAAGAAATCCTCCTCATCTTACTAAGCTTCTAAAAAAAAAGGTCGTCCGGCTGAACGAAAGAAAATCTTCCTCTTTGTCTTACCGAGCTTCTAAGAAAACAAAAAGCTCGTCGGGCTGAACGAAAGAAAATCTTCCTCATTGTCTTACCGAGCTTCTAAAAAAAAGGTCCTCAACTTATGTGCGCTGTTACTCAAACTCAAAAAAACGACATCTGTCGTATAAAAAGAGGGAATTTGCCGTAAAAAGGACATTTCAAGCTTTAAAAAGTCACAAGGACATTTTGCTTCAAAAAAGGACAGGTGGTAACTGTGAAGTACCTGACCATACCAAATAGGTACCCAGTATTTAAATTACATAATAAAATGAATAATTATCAACATTATTGTCCCGTGAATAAAAACTTATATTTGGTAGGTAATTTATAAATCAATTAGATTATCCTGTACTTATATTTCAAAATCTTATGGTTACATTCACAATTTAACTTACTCAAAAGTCTCTAAATAATTGCAAGGTCTTGTTTTAATAATTACAAAACATAATTATTTTTGGTAGTTAGCTGCATGGCTCACCCTGTATAAAAAGTACAAATAGCGAAATGTTTTAACCTCAAAATTGTTAACGGGTAAATATTAAGATAATAAAATAATTTATCTGTGGCGCAACTGTAGAATTATTGAGAGTTTGCAAAAATATATTGTGATTTATTCGTGAATCACCCTGTAACAGTATATATTTTAAAATGTCCTTTTTCATGAACATTTGACCAAAAATTATATTAAACTTTTATATACATTAAGTCAATCTATCTTTTCAGTTTGAAGAAAAAATAACTAAAATCAGCAATTCTCCACTTTAACGCCCTGTATCTCGAAAACTAGTCATAGTATCGGATTTAAAATTCATACTTCCTAAAACGACATTAAAATTATTATATATTAAGAAAATGGTTACATTTGACGGGGGAAATTTTAGAATACAGAGTGTTCGTGGTTTTTGTACTTTTCATAATATGGAATACCTTCCAACAAATAAATTACCTTGTATATTTTGAATCTTAAAGGTAGATATATTTTAGTGATATTACCTTTCCCAAAATTCAACTCATAAGTACAGGGTTTTGAATTAATCGTTAAAAAAAATAATTTTATGTTGTGATTCTGTCTATAAAACAGCCTTTATAAGAAATGTGTACTGTGCAATATTTTGTCGTCAAAATACCATATTGAGTAGCACTTTTTGAAAATATGCTTCTCTGACCGCACAGTAGAATTAGTGTGATTTTACAAAAAAAATCCCTCATACATTTGTGAATCACCCTCTAATTATACATATTTTTAATTGTACGTATGTGCTAATGTGTTACTAAAACTCATAATAAACATTTGTATGCATCAGAAATTTATTCTAGCTCGTAAGTTTGCAAATAAAAATTCCCAAAAACTGGGTAATTTTCAACTTTAACACCCTGTATATCGAAAACTAGTCATAGGATTGAGTTGGGCCCATTGACACTTTTGGTTACTAGGTTGACTAAAACAACATACCAGAGAGTTTTAGAAAATTTGACGAGTCGCCACTTTGCATAAGAAAAGTGCGGGGTCCATCGAATGATTTTTTCTAATCACATTATATATAAATCTTCAGGATAAACTGAATCGTTAATTTTTGGCAGAAAAATAGCTATACGGGTGCAGTCAATGCAATCTATAATTCCAGGAAAATGGTACGTCATAAAAACCCTAGTTTTTATGGTGCAAAATTAATTTAAGTAATAACTTTGCTTATCTGATTCAGTTCTTTAATATTTTGTGGCAATTTTACAAAATTGTTAAAATTTCTGGTCACAACGTGTGTACAGAAGAGCTTTGAACTACCACTTGCAAGAAACCGCAAGCAAATTAATATCTGTAAATTAAACATACATGAATTAATAATTAAATTCTTACACGGTAAAATATAAAAAATATTCATTCAATATCCATTTAATTTAAAAAATGGATTCTGCCTCTGCATGTCTGAATCTTTGAGGATTCTTATCTTCCAAGTTTTCTAATTGTACAATTAATAATAATTGAAAGACATTCTTAGCTATTAGACTTTTTTAGTACCGCAAATATATTTATAAGAAATTAGATACTTTTGTAGGAATCAATAAAAAGTAGTTTACCTAGAATTTGTTAAAATCAATCAATATTATTAATCATCCTAAAAGTGACATATAAGTGACATTTGCTAAATCCTTGAAAACATACACGTTTTATCAAGAACGTGTGAAAAATTCCGCTCGCTGTAAAACACCCGTTTTAAAAACGTCCATGCTTTTAAAACGAATGTCGAGAATACCGAATAGCTCGCATGTTGCTAAAGCGTATACGTTGTTTAGAAAACGATAGCCGAGGATAGGGCCCCAGATACTAGTGCTGACTTAGGCGTGAATTGTATTGCTAAATTGATGATCCCCAGGCCGTACAGGTTAGGTAATTTAGTTTTTTATTTATATATTTGTTTTTTTTTTTTGAGCCATTATTAATGGTTACCAGTACAGGTTTGGTAATTTAGTTTAGGTTTACTATTTTTTTCTCATCATTTTAAATATACTGTTAAAATTAAATCACTACAATCACAAGTTAAAATGTACAGTTGACGAAACCAAAAGTATGAAAAATCAAAATTTAACGGTGTGATTTAGACTTTGCATCATAGTCGTTTGTCGCATTCAAATTTGACGGCTCTTAAAAGTATCTATAGGATTAAGCTAACACTGCATTCTTTACGTCGAGTTTACCTGTCGCTATTACTTTCGCTCAAATAAATAAAATATGGTATTGATATAGAAAACAATTTAATGTCAATCTCATTGCAGAAAAAATTAAGAAATTTTCAACTATTATTAAGTCTCCTGGCTGAAATTACTTATTAGAAAATAAGTAATATGTGGCATTGTGGTTGTAGTATAGTTTGAAATAACGAGGGATTACAGGGACGTCCGGAAGAACCCTAACTCTTTTGGTATATGCATGTTTTCATGCATTGCGTTAATTATATCTTTTGTTTCAGCTGCTAAAACTGAAATGGTTAAGTCGAAACTACCCAATTCGGTACTAAGCAAAGTATGGAAACTCGCAGATGTAGATAAGGATGGTATGTTGGACGATGAGGAATTTGCATTAGCGATGCACTTGATAAATATTAAAATCGACGGCAATGATTTGCCTCAAGAACTACCTGAGCATTTGATTCCACCCTCCAAGCGTTGATATGATTTTGTTTCCCTTTGCACGAATGTCCGCAAGTGCTATTCATTTTCATAGATTTGTGCCTGATTCAAAGTATATAAAGAAATGTACAAATATTGGTTTTTATTGCATTTTTGAGTCAACTGGCAATTTAGATAAGATTCTAAAAAGTCCTTTTCACGAAATCGTATCGTTTTTTTATTTCTACAAAGATCAAGTTATTGTGAAACACATGCTGTATAATAAATGTAATGATAGTTTTCAAATGATTATATTATAATTTTTTTACATACAATCTATACATTTTATTGAATTAGAATTGATACTTAATAACATTGTTCGCTACTTATTTTGAAGAAGCTGGTAGATATAAATTTGTAAAAATTATTATTTTTTGCAATATTATGTGAAATGGACGATTTAATGTTATTCCCAATATATTTTTCGATCAAATATACGTATATTTCGGTGCCTCAGGTTTTTCTATAATTATTTTCTAAATAACATTTTTAGGTGATATTTTCTTTTTGGTAACATTTTAGATGGTTAAATATTCACACTACAATGGAATCCTAATGTTAAAAAGCTTTTAATATATTATGCTGTGTCTATTTTGAAAAACATTCATGAATATTGTCAATAATTATTCCAAATGATCAAACTTTAAAATAAAAACTTACTTGAGTTGAATTAAAATAATGACAGAACTAGTTTTATAAGAATAACTTTGGTGAACTCAGTACACATTTTTGTTTAACCATTATTGTGATAAATATGAAACTAGGAAGATTCTAAAAGACAACAATAGTCAAACATGATAATAGAAATACTTTTCTAAAATTTACATTCAAAACATCAATATTTTTGAAACGTTAAAAAAGGATATACCTACCTATAATAAGAACAGATTTTTGTTACATCTCGTATATATGACAAAATATGATGGTGCACTGTTAATATGTTAAGTAGTACATTAATTATTATAATAGATTTATTTTTTTTTCTTGCTATTAGGTTGTTTTCATCATGTTCTATAGGGTGAGGGCACTTAAGTTGTCATACCTGTATAGTAATGCTAGTAATAAAAAATTAAGTGGCCTATACAAATGGAGAATGCTTTGTTTTTAGTACATTCGGGTTTCTCAACCTAAATACCACACCATGTAGGTCCGATTTATAAGCAGAATACTGCTGCATCAACTTTAAAAAGTTCTAGCTCCTTTATGAAGCATGTTCTTATTGTAATTGGACTCTCCAGTGGTGCGTTTTTTATTTATTAAAGAATTTTTTGAAACAACTTATTTTAGTTTAATAAATATGTTTATTTAGATGTTATATTAAAGAGCTTGGTGTTCTCGCAAAAAAATAATTTTCTGTAACCATGCGGAATTGTTTTTAATTTCCTATTTTTTTTATACATAATTAAAAGGGTCTACAAGAATAATTAAAAATGTGATATGAAAACATATTTACCACGTACAGGGTGTAGTAGGAGACTTTTATTTTATTTTTTTGTATTCTGCATGGTTACCTATATTTTCTATATATTTCTTAAACTGCACTGTAAGATTATTATTAGTAAAATATACAGAACATCTGCTACCAGTATAGTATGAGTTTAGGATATTTGGGATAGTTTCTATACTAAACATATACAGGGTGTTTCTAATTATCACCGACAGTCCAGTTTAAAATATAGTGTATAATCTCAAGAGCACTTTTAGCGAAAGTTATTTGCTTTTCTGATCCAATGGGAGATTTATGTAACTTTGTTTTACATTTCTACACTACAAAGAAAGTATAAAGTATTAAACAATTGATTATTCTAGTTTTCAGTTTTATAAGAATCTAGTATAAAACCACCCTGTATTTAATAAATCCTAGTCTAAAATAATTAAACATCACACAATATATAGATTGGAATATTTTATACTTATATAATATACAAAAAGAAGTGACAATGAATTCTAAATTAATGTAAAAAATTATTCCTTTTAAATTTAGCACAATAAATAAATTAATTTATATATAATTTCAAATATTTCAATTTTGTGATCAATTTGGCTAACCGATGTATTTTCCTATACCAAAAACTCACTTTTGCAATATTAGAGTTAGAGCTTATTTTAAATTATTGGTCCACATAAATCTGTTTTTTTTTTCTACACCAAAATATCTTGAAAATCTTTTAACAACAATCAATTTAAACAACTGAATGAACCCATCAACTTTTTTTTTCAGTAATTTTGTATTAAAAAATATTCTATATAAAAATAAATATCCAATGATTACCAAAGAATCAATCCAAATATCTTTAAAACGAGATTTTTGTTATATTTTGGTCCTGGTAAAAAACTAGATATAGAAATAATTTATAAATTGGTCCAGCAAATACGAACAATGTGATAAAATTTTCGTACTATGTATATTTGTATTATAACAATGTAGATAAGGTATAACTTTCTTATTTGATTTTATTGTTTGTTTGGGTTTAAACGCCCTTCAACTGCCGAATAAATTTAAATTATTAAAAAAGTTTAATATATTTTTGTATATAATTTCACCCTGACTGTTCTAGTTCTTAAGCACTTGTAGGAAATAGAATTTGTTAACATCTTTTTTCATATCATATATAACAATTGTTTTTTTTTTTCATTTCATTCTATAGTTTGTGAATTATCAAATAAAATTTATATGTTCTATTATATTGTTTTTTATTTATTTTTTTATCCTTCCACAAATATGTCGAATTTTTAATTGAAAAAATACAGCGAATATTTAAAACAGAAAAATAAAAAAATAATAAAATCTGTTGTTACTTCGAAAGAGGAAAGATTGAGGAAATCATCTAGTAGGTAAGATCACCCTGTATATTTTTTTTGTTCTTACATTCTCGTTTTAGGCGAAGATCGAAGACAATGTTTTTCTTTTAATATTGCGCTTCTATTATATTATCGGGTTTACTCGGTGCACTTACAGGACTTCGTATTTTTTTGCTTGCACTTTATAATTGGGTACAGGAGAGAGGGGTAAACAACTATGTCCCGGTGGTGGGAGGTCATGCGACCTGTGAAATTCAAAGTAAAGTTACTTATCGATCGATTTTTCAATTTTGGCCGACAATAAAACATGCCTCTACACATCAATAACAAAAAAAAAATACCTTCTCAAGCATTTTCTGACGTCCGGTTTTGCTACTTTAGGTGTAGGGATTTCGACCACGTAATCGGATATTTACCTTTGTCAACGAAGATCGGGAAATAGCTTAAAGGCTTTTTTTCTGAATCTAAGATGATATTGCAAGTATTTTTTTTGTGTCCCCGAAAGAGTTGATATACAAAAAAAAAATTTCGACCTACCGGGAATTGACCTGTTTTTATGAAATAATTGTAAAATCGGAACCAAAAGTCGAAAAGTGGTTTGATTGCTCTCAAACTGATTGGGCCGTGTGCTCCTCCGGTTACATACTAACTGCATTCTAAATAAAAGGTCCACTTCAGGTATAAAAAAAAAATGCCGAACTGCAGTCTAAACATTTCAGTAGCAGGCAGTCCAGGTAGATGAAATAAGCTTACTCTATATAATCAGTAGCGTACGCTGTCCAGTTTTTAATGTTATAATAATGCAAATTCAATGTTTAATACTACAAACTTAAAAAGTCAGTGTAATGTAAAATTAATGTGGATACAGATTTATTAAAACACGTTATATGTAATATAATACCATTTATTTTAAAATTTACAATAATCATTAATATTTTTAAATAAAAGATACATTTTAAAAAATCTAAACATGTTATATTACTAATACAACAATTTATTTAAAAATGTACAATAAAAATTATTATTATTGTATATTATGTTATATTACAATTTATCTTGAAATTTACAATAAACATTTTGATTCCTAATGGTTAACATAACTAAAAGAAACACATTTTAGAAAATCTAATCTACAAATCTCTTTTTGTAAATACTGGTCAATTTTTTGTTGAATAAACTTTTGTTTTGTCGCTGTTTTTTTTTTCGGCTAATGTGTTTTTCTAACCTTAGAGAACTGTTCATTTTAGCATATGTTTGCATCCCAATCAAACATTCTAGAAATTTGTGAATATTTGGATGAGATATTTCACAATACTTTTTTTTTATTATTATTATTATTATTATTAAATTTAGTCGCATCCACCAAAAGGTTATTAGCGACGGAACAATACATTAATTATAAATCTAAATTTCGTATAACATTTCGATAGATTTTAGATAGTCAATAATGTTTTTAAGAGGAAAATCAAATAGTTTGTTTATGTTGTTTGGGATGTTGTGAGCATTTCGATTGATTTGATATTTTGGACATTCGATTAAAAAATGATTTACGCTGTTGACGACACTGCACTCTTCACATATTGGTGGGTCACTATTAGAAAATAGATAGGAGTGCGTAAATCTTGTATGACCTAGCCGTAAACGGGTGATAACTATTTGCACTCGTCTGTTTAATGTCGGATATTGCCAAGGTGTAATATCATTTTTAATTTAGACCGACTATATTGCCACTCACGAGACCACATACACAATATTTTCTTTTTGACAAACGATTTAAGATCATTCGCGACACTGTGAGACACTATTTCCGACACTTCATTCGTTATTGCATTACGCGCACACTGATCTGCTGTCTCGTTGCCTTCAATTCCGATGTGGGAGGGTACCCAAATGATGTGTATGCACCTTGAATGTTCTTGAGCCTGCAGTAGTTCGGACTTTATCATTTTTTCAATGGGGGTTTTTGGGTATATATGTTGCAATGCCAGTATTGCACTAAGAGAGTCTGAGAGAATTAATGGAAATATTTAATCTATTTAAATGCTGAAGAGATTTGTAGATAGCGAAGAGTTCAGCGGTGAAAATGCTAGAGGTTAACGGAAGTTTGAAAAAGAATTTGTCCTGAGGTGTTACAAATGCTGCCCCAACACCAGTGTCATCTTTAGAAGCATCAGTAAAAAACTTTTGATAGTCCTGATATTTGTCTAAAATATTATTAAGGTTGCCTTTTATAATACTTGAGGGAATTTCATGTTTATTATATTGGCAGAAGTCCGTGTTGGTTTGAGGAATTTTAATGATCCAGGGAGGAGGATGGTCAAGATCGAATGGAAAGACTTCTGGAAAGTCAATCTCTAGGTGACTAAGATAACTTCGAATTCGCTCATAATAGGGTTTTGATGTGTGAGGCTTATTGGTAAAGTAATTGATATATTTTTTTAGTGAAGGTATTATTGAAAAGTGGTTTATATCTATTAGAGGCTATCGAAGTAGTATGTGATAATGATAGATACATTCTCCGGTAGTACAGGGAAGGTTCTTCAGTTTCACAGTAGATACTTTCAATAGGGGAAGTGCGAAAGGCTCCCAGAGCAATACGAAGAGCAGCATTGTGTACAGTGTCTAACAGTTTTAAAGTGGTTTTGCTGGCTGATCCATATGCAATAGACCCGTAGTCAATCTTTGATCTTATTAAAGTTTTATAAATGGTTAATAAGGTATGATAGTCTGAGCCCCAGTTTCTGTTTGCCAGAGTCTTCATTATGTTTAGTCTCTTATTACAGGGGCAAAGGGTTAAATGTTTTATGTGTTCTTTCCAGGATAGCTTTTGGTCGAACCACATTCCCAAGAACTTTACTGATGGTTTGAAAGATATATTTTGCTTAAATAACTGTAAAACTGGAAAGATAACAGAAGTTGTCTTGGAGAATACAATTCCAACAGTTTTTGTCACGGAAAAAATAAATCCTGTATCCATTATTGATTTTATCGGTTATTTTAATTTTCTCCGTTTTTTGCAGTTTCACCCTCAATTTTGACTTCAGATTCGTGTTCAGCGATAAAAAATACGTCGGAAAATCTTTGTCGAACACCCAGCACAGACCACTTTTTTTTTGTGGACCTGTGTTATTTTTTCTAGTAGCTTACTCATGGAGCACGTTAAACTTATAGGTCTGTAAGATTCAGGTTCTAAACGAGGTTTCTAATTTTTTAGAAGAGGAAGGACAATAGCTTTAAACCATAGCTTTAGACCATAGACATGGAAAGAGACGTTGGTGCCATATTAAATTAAATAGTTGGAGAAGATATGTTTTTGCAGAATGGGGAAGATGTTTTAAAAATATTACTGGAATATCGTCTGGTCCGGGGCTGGTATTTTTAAGATCTAGGAGAGAATTACTTAATTCAGATATAGTGAGAAGGAGGTTTAAAGGAACATCACACAATACTTTTTAAATATGTGAAATGCTTCACAATTATTGGTAGTTCGGGAAGTAGAAGATGTTAAAGCAGCCCAAATTTGAGGTGGAAATGTTGCATCCTCAGATATGTATGTATTGACCAAATAATTGAATTTTTCTCCACCAACTCTGTGTTAAATGAAACCGACAACCTATTATATTGCTACTAGGAAAACTTCTTTAACACTGTTATGAATAGCTAGTTCGAAATCTACAATATATTTTGGTTTTAAGTGAAAACCTAATTCTAAACATTTACTTTTTACTAACCTAAATAAATTTGTATAAGATATTATGGTTTTGTTCTTTAATAAACCGAATACATTTTAAATTTTATCTTTTTATCAGAAATATCTAGAGATTTCAAAAATGATTTTTAAGAGACGCCTATGCATACTTAAAATTGTACCTTTATTTAGACTGCAATTAGTCTGTTTTTGCACCTGGTCAGTAACCTAAAACTTTAGACTGAAATTCGGCATTTGTAAAAATTTGGACTGCAGTTTACCGGCACCGGCTCCTCCATAGGCAAAAATTGTAAAAATCTTTCGATAGGCTGCCTCTAGACTGCGCTAAAATGTTTGTCAGAGTGATAGTAAAGTTGTCAATTGAAATAATCGAATGTTATTCATATTATTGATTCAGTTAATATGCATTTCTAAGTGAACAGGAAATCCCAAAGTAGCAACTTTTCTTCTAAATAAGTACAATCTTAATATTTCATATTTCTCGTCAGATAAATTGCCGCTACATGACATGTTTTCGCATCTCTTTTGTAATTTATTATGCGTTGAACTAAAAAACCAATGTATTTTTTCAATCAATATTATTGGATAAAAAATATGAGTATTGAGTTTTAGCATTTCGGGGTCCTGGGCTCGTGCCCTTTGTACCCTTAGGGTACAGACGAAACTGTTTATATTACTGTTACAATAGTACAAAAGTACGCGCAAGATTAACGATTTAAATCTTTATAATAGTAGTTGTTTACACATTGTAACGTTGGTTTTCCATGTTTTTAACGTTAAAAGTTATTAAAATGAGTCATGTCAAGTCATCGCACTATATCTCGGCTTCTGATAATTGCTAATCATTTGCCATCAACTTAAAAGTAGGCTAAAACAATCAAATTATGTAAATATTCGAATACGACTCATTAGCTGTGATGTTATGAAGATTATAATTAATTTTCAACGTAGAATTGTAACGTAATATTTAGTTTTGCCAAAATAAAAGAAAAAATCATATTTACAATTATTTAGTCACCTATGGGCCGATTCCACCGTTGTGTTAAACAAAGTTTAAATTACTAAACGAAGATTAAAATGACATTATTAATGCAAAAATGTAATTTTAATCTTCGTTTAGTAATTTAAACTTCGTTTGACCCAGCGGTGGAATCGGTCTTTAGTACATTAAGGG